CCAAACAATCCTTCCCCCCCCCCCAAATACTGAGCAACCCTCCAAGACTCAGTTTGTCTAATGAATTCTCTCTAATACAAGAGGTTAATAAGTCTTGAGAAAAGGAAATACATTTCTGACAGTATTTCTGAAATTACATTTAACACTTGAGATTTTCTTAGATTCTATCACTTCTTCACTTGTCATTTAGAACTAGTTATTACATATATTCCTTAATGTCTGGATCTGGAAATATTTGTTTATTATAGCACAGAGAAGGAAATTTCGCTAGGAGCCTTGTGGGGTAACCAATGTTAATTTAACTTAACAAATTGTTCCATGCGACTGGGGTGGTTTCAATGCTTTAGTAGCCTATATAGGCTAAGTAAACCAAAACCTAAGACTGAAATGCCTCAAAATTAAGAAATAAAAACCTAATGACAAATAGCCAACTAGGCAACTTCTTAAGCTACAGCCAATCAAATATTTCGTTGCTTTGTTTCCATCTCTTCTGTATAAAACTATTTATGCAGCTTCTGCTGGTGAAGCCCTCCTTATCCTTCTGGTTTGGCACTGCAGCATCAGAATCTATTTTTGCTCAACTGAACCCTTTAGATTTTACAAGTACATTCTGTGTGTAACAACCAAGTACAAATTTTGACTCATACTTTATCTCACACTGTCACAGTTAGCCTCACATTCCTGGAGTCATTGAGGATGCCGTGGGCACATCTGGAAATTATCCATGATTTTAGTAGAATAAGTTGATGGTCTTTTTGTCCTGTCCCTTCTGCGATTTATCTTCACCCTCGTCCTCAATGCTACTGCAATGGCATTTAATTAGCTTCTTCACTTCCAGTGGTTGTCCTAATGTCCAAACCTGGAAAGAAGTTTCATTAGAGTTTATTTGAGCCAAATGAACAACATGCTGGGGAGCAAGACCTCAAATGCTCCGGAGAATGACAATTCTGTAGTTTCTCGTACACATTTGGAATTGAGAGGGAAAGTAAGAAACATTACATGAAAGTGGGAGTTAACAAGATGATATGCTCCCTTAAGGGTGAGTATGCCTCTGAGGGGTCTGGACTTCTAGCATTTCAAAGGTATGTTAACCTAGATGTATAAGAACAATGGACAAAGGTAAGGCAAAGATAAACCTTGTATAGGCCTGGGGTGTGACTCCCACCACGCCATGCCCAGTTAGGAATTTAGGATCAGCTCACCTTGTGAGGTTACCTTGGGTCACTGAGATTGTCAGATTAATTCGAGCCCCTTTTTCATCCACACAGTCATGATTGGTTTCATCTATTCTTACCTCAGCTCTTGGTTCTGCTTCCTCCTTAAAATCCTGCAAGATTCTTTGATATAACTAACCTCCTTCCCTCTCCATCCCTTTTCCTGCTCACAACAGCTCTACCCTTGTTCTCTGCCACCTCTCCTACCTCTACAGCCAGCTTTCTATAAATAAGTATAGAATTACTAAGACCTAAAAATAAATGTAGAATTACTTTCACTTCCATTGATCTGTGTTCTCTTGCTCAAGGCCTTTGTAGATATATTTTCTCTGCCTGAAAGGCAAACCAATTAAGCCAGAACCTCTGGTGGACCTTAAGAAAGGAAAAATTTTTAAAGCTTTTTGGGTAATTCTAATGTACAGCCAGAGTTGAAAACATAGTACCTAAAACTTTGTGTTTTAGAGATTTAAAAGAATATCCCACAAATTCAAGGAAGTTACCTGATTCATCTAAGGTCACACATGTCACAGTCCTCTCTTTACCTTTTTTTAAATCAAAATTACCTATTTCAAAATTTTACATTGAATTTCACTCTATAAGAGCTATAGACATTTTTTTTCTTTTTTTAAATATGCTTTTATTAATTTTACAGAGAGAGAGAAAGGGAGGGAGAAGGAGAGAAACACCAAAGTATCAATTGGTTGCCTCCTTCACACCCCCTACTGGGGGTCAAATCCTCAGCCAAGTCCTGTGCCCTGACCTGGAATTGACCCAATGACCTCTGGGTGCATGGGACAACACCCAACAAACTGAGCCACACTGGTCAGGGCTATAGACACTTTTCAAATGGCATCTGAACTGGACCACAGTGGAAAAACACAGTCAGTATTTCTCAGTTCTCTGTTAATTCAGGATGATACTCCATCAGTTATTTCAAGTTGTCATTTTCTTCTAAGATATCAATATGGAACATTTAAAATCTATCTATTTATTCAAAATTCTTCGGTGAAAACCTACTTTGGGGAAGGCAGAACCCAGAAATAATTTAGTGAGCAAAAACAGTAATAATGTTCCTTATTTCAAATATGTTATTTGGACAAAATGAACTTTTCTATGTAGCTCTTAAGATAAAGTTTTGTTAAAACATTCCAGAGAAATCCTTATAGAAAATTTAACTAAAGTATGGGTTTATTTCTGGCCTTTTCCTTAAAACTACAGGCAGACTTAATTTTAATTTCCCTCTGTGCTCCGCATTATATTCCATAGTTCTCAAAGCTTAGGCTACCAATGCTTTAGCCAAAGAGCTGCTTGTTTCTTGTGTCAACATTTTGTACAATGTACTGTACCAGGATTATAGGACATGCAGATTGACTATTCACTGTAATCTCTAGATAATGATAAGAACAACTTTCTGTCTTCCCCAAGCATAACACAGCTAAGACACCGCCAATGGACCAGATCTGTAACTGAGGAATACCAGCAGTGGGCTTCGAACCTCTGCTTTGACAATAAAGCTATCAATCCAAAGAATCAATCAAAGCCCCTCGCCAGAGCACTTTACTTAGGTAAACTGCACCCTATAAAGTTAAAGCAGAAAGTCAAGACTTCGAAATATAAATGGCTTCATCAACTGTGGTTTCAACTTATGAAAACAGTATTTTTTTTCTTCTTTGGAATAATTAAATTTTAAGCCTATAAATCTAAACATACTTAGAATACTGAAAAAATGTTCAGGCTAAATATATATAGTTATAGTTTATATGATAAATATATTAAGATATATATAACAAATATAAAAAATATATATTTATATATTTTGCTGCCCTCTACTGGGGAATCAAAGAATAATTTTCAGCTCCATTTCAAGCTTGGCCTTATGTGCTCACATGGCCTATCATGTGTGCAGGCATCTAAAGAGAGAGAGAACATCTTCCTCTTATAAGGTCACCAATCTTATGAGATTAGGACCCTACTCTTATGACCTCATAACCTTAATTACCTCCTAAAAGCCCTATCTCCAAATATGGTCACATCGAGGTTATGGATTCAACATATGAATTTGGAAGAGATACAATTCAGTCCATAGCATCATGCTATATATTTCTACAGCATTTTCTCCTTTCTTAGAATGAATGTATAGGAATCACCTGTTTCCTTACCTGTGCCTCATTAGACTTGAGTTCCCTCAGGCCAGCCTCTATGTAATATTGCTATTGTATCCCTACCACAGTAACTAGCACTTAACAGTCCTGTGGTCAATGCTGGTTGAATAAATTAAGAAATGATAGGAACTATCTATTCTGCTCTTTACCAGGTCTTAGCATAAAATACCATAATTAGCAGGGGGTTTAGAATGGTTAGGCCTAATCGGATACCTGGGGCTTTGCTGGAGATAGAACAGCAAAGCAAGCCTTATGTCATGGACATCATTGTCCTCATCAAAGTGGCAGAATGACGTCAATAAAGCTAAACACTGATCAACAGCCATTCTGGGCCCAGAAGCAAGTGCTGCTCATTGAGGTGAGTAGCACACCAACTGAATTCTAAGTTATTTCAGATGAACCAGTTATTTAAGGATAGGGTACATAATTTAATAAAATTATATCCAATGAATAGATAACCAGGTGATATGAATAATACACTCAACAATCAGTTAAAATTATGTATAAAAAAGGACACTAAAACTCCTCAGATCCCTTGCCTCCAGAGAACTTAACACTATAGACAGAAAAAGGGGGTGTCCCTCCCTCCCTGAGCACAAAATCAGCAGGGTCTGCTAGAAATAGCCCATAGGTCCTAGAGGGATGACAATCAGGCTGTTTATCACTAATGGGACTTGGATTCAAGTCTCATTCCTACTGACTGGTCTCCTGAAACCCTGTGTTCATTTTTCTAGGAAGACCTTAGGAGATTCCAAAGGGGCCCATAACTCAGGAAGGGTTAAGAGTCACTTCCCATAGGGCCAGAGGACCTACGTCTGGGAGCCATACCTGCACCTGGTTGTTGATAGAAACCGGGGTATGGGGGGAGGGAGGGTTGTGTGGGTGTGTAAGTGGTGGGGGTTGAATATATTGAGCAAAAGAGAAAAAAATTCATGGACATGGACAACAGTGTGGTGATTGCTGGAGCAGCGAGGGGGAGGTGAAGGGGGTACAGGGGGGATAAATGGTGATAGAGGGAGACTTAGAGTTGTAAACACACAATACAGTGTACAGATGATGTACTGTAGAATTATGCACCTGAAACCTGTATAATTGTGTTAACCAGTGTCGCCCCAATAAATTCAACACTTAAAAGGAAAAAAGAAAAATAAGTTATAGTACAGTAAAAAAAAAAAAAAAAAGACACTGCAATCAGGTATGTAAAAACTTTATTGTACTTTGAATAACAAGCATATAACAAAATTAAGAGCATAATAAAGATAAAGTATCTCAAATTATGTTCCTTACAAAAGCATTAAGTACAGTACCCAAAGACTATTCTTAATATTATAGTCTACTTAAAACATCAAGACATACTAGGAACTGTGGAGTTTCCTTCAACCACAGCATTTATTCCCATTAGCTTTGCTACAATGAAAGTTAACATATATGAACATACACATATAATAAGTGAAATGGAACATGAAGGCATGCAACAAACATTCCAATTACCAAGCAAGTCTGAAGAAGAAAGTCTTTAGTATTTCTAAGCTTCTGTTTGCTTTGAATATATTGACCAGGTACAATGGCACTTTTTAAAAATATTTTTTCCTGTAAGCTGATACTTTCTTAGCTTTGTCATTAATCAAATTTGAAAATTTGCAAATGAAATAAGAAACACATTAATCTTATTCACATGTAAAATTCAAGACGTTGAGCAACCCGCAGTCCATTGCCCCATCCAGTAAGCACAGACACTGGAGTCAATGCCTGGTGTGGCGATATGGTCTGTCCCAGCTGAATATCAGCCCTGATCTCATTTCCAATGAATGACCAGAAACATGTTCTGTCTAATGAAGAAGCGTGAGTTACGAAGCATGAAATTCACACGGACATGAAACTGAATTCAAATACTCTGCTGCATGTGAAATAGTTCACAGTGACCGCCATGGACTGGCTAACAGGCAATGGAGGTTTTCATGTTCAGCTTTGATGAAAACAAATGGACTTACAAGAAACCCTTGAGACTTAGTTAATGCTACTAATCTAGAGGCTCCAAATTACGAAGGATCCTGTAAGATCAGTATATGTGACTTTTTCTCTATTTTTCCTTAAGGAAAAATAATAATTAAAAACGCCGAGGTACTTCAGTTCCTTTTCAAGGGATGACTGTTGTTATCTTCCTGAGATTCAAAAGGCCACAGAAGAAAAGCCCCCTGCCTAGGTTGCTGAATGAGGCATCAGGCACTAATAGTTTGGTCCTTTCCTAAATGGATCTCTCCCGACAATTACACTAAAACACAGCGATGGATCGCAGATGCCTGGGGGGCCTGGCTGCCCTTGGATGCCAGGTTTTCCATGATCTCCATCTTTCCCAGGAAGACCTGGGTCTCCCGGAGGACCTTCTTTGCTTATTCCAGGAGGGCCCTCTGGACCTACGATGGGACATTAGCAGTGTGTGAACAGGGGAGTTTGGTTTTGGATGGTGTTACAGCTGATTCTGTAAGATATTTAAGCTGGAAAAAGAAAATTCTTGAAAATTGTACATATTTGCACTAATGTGAAAAAAAAGCTATTCTTTTGCTAATTCTACATACCTGCCACTTTGAAAAGGACCATACAAAAGTAATCAGTAATTTTTGTAAAACTAAGCTAAGCTATATTAATATAGCAAGCATGCTACCAATTAAGACATTGAGCTAACATTCTAATATTTCAGTTTGTGGGTTGTCCAAACTTATTTCTTCCTTTCAGCATATTTTCTGCCAGTATTATTATAAATTAGGGGGATATATATATATCCCCCTAATTTAGCATATATATATATATATATATATATATATATATATATGCTAAAACTCTAATGTCACTCTTGTGCCATATTTGCAATAAAAATTACTATTTCCAATATACATATTCTTTTAGTCGGAACATCTAATATATTGTCATTATCACACATAGTAAAATAGTGATCAATACTCATAAGTGCTATAGTACTAATGTGTGAACCACAGCCCAATTAGTTCAATTAGCACACTCAAAGTAAGAAGAGTTAATTTAGGATACTGACCTTTTAAAGTTGATGCTTCAAAATAACAAAAGCAAAATATTCAGGTTTGGGGATGAAGCAGAGTGGTTGTGGGGCATTTCCTGCCACTACTACTTCCTGCTACTAGGACTACTAATAAACATTGATTTAACACTTAACTACAATTGTAGATATTGCTCTAAGTGTTTTATATAAACAGTATTAAATTATTTGATCCACCCAAAGCCTCATGAGGTAATAATATCATCTAAAATAATAGTAGCACACATTTATTGAAAACATAGCTATGATTGTCATGTACTGTTCTGCAAGCACTACATGCATCAATCCACTTATTCTTTGAATAATGTCATGAGGTAGATGATATGTCATCACCATGTTACAAATGTGGAAACTGAGGCATGGCAAAGTTAAATAACACAGCTAGAAGAGGCTAACTTAAGAGTCTTGGTTTCAAATTATTTGACATAGATTTATGATGCTTTTCTTAAAGCAAAATATGCAGCAACACTGATAAACATACAGCAATTCTTACCTGGTGGACCAGGAGGACCTTGCTCTCCAGGGTACCCAAACCCTTGGCTCCCCTTTGCCCCATTTCTTCCTGGTAGGCCTGTAGTGTTAAAGATGGGAGTAAGCTAATTTTTCCTATAAAATCACAGCCTCCTAGATTGTTTATTTAAAAGCTGTTAATACACACATTGAAAGAAAAATACATCTCTTTAAAATAGCTTGCCACCTATTTATTATTACTAACAGGAAACAAATTTTGAAGCAACAATTTCTAAAAGTATCAGTGGCCAGAAATATTTAGTAGGGATTAAATATTAAGAAAGGAAAATGGTTTGGAATTATTAGCCCTTTCTGTTAATTATCCTTATTCTTTTATTACTTTAATGAAACATCTATACTGTCACAAAATATTAAATTAAAAGAGAAGAATTAGCAAATAACATTTCACATAAACATTCAAAGGCAAAGAGAAGTAAGTTGTGGGTTATTGGAAAGTTTGGCTGCAAAACATAATTTTTCCTGTAATAGAAAAATTAATTGAATAATTTTGGTAACAGAAATTACCAAAGTCAAAAAAAAGGAAACAGCATCTCTGGTTTTCTATTTAAAGACCTTATTAGACTCAAGTAAAATTTCTAAGTGCACTGTCAACATTTTCTAATTTGTAACTTTACATCTTCATAACTCTGACCTATCTCCCTCTACTTGAAAATGTTGCTTCAAGAAATAGAATAAGTGTTCTTTAATTCAGTTGACAAACTACTTAGAGGCTAAAGGATTTACAAAAAATATTTTGTCATCATGAAAACAACGATGAATTCTTTCCTCCTGAACAAATTTAGGGTGTAGATACAAAAAAAAAAAAAAAATACCTTTCTTGTTCATTTGCTTAAGCACACAAATTAAATACCTTTGAATCCTCTGGCACCTGGGCGTCCAGGAGCACCCATTAGTCCAGGAACACCCTCTCTTCCTGGCAAACCAGGAAATCCTCGGGGACCTTCTGGGCCTATAGGACCAGGTGGCCCAGGAACACCAGGGGAACCATGTTGGGACTGGCAACGATCACAAGTTTGAATCCTTCCACTCTGAAGTAAGACTGGTAGCTGGGCTTAAAAACAAAGAACCCCACCTCCTTATGCTTCAGTGTGAGCAGCAATTAACAATATCTCTAATGATTTTTTAAAACTTTACAGATGTGTATCACTTGGGCAATAATTTCACTTCTAGGAATTTAACTATGTAAATATTCATTGCTCTGTGTAATTTTATTTTATCATTTGCTTAACTTTGGGGAAAAAGTGAAAGTGCCCTGAAGAAAAATTTGATAAATTAAAGGCATTCATATTTATGCATTAAATTATCATAATTATGTCAGAAAATTTATTAATGATGAAAAAATAATAAATTGCTTTATTAAAAATATTACAAAAGGGTACATACAATCTTTCATCTTCATTATAAAAATACTCATCTAGAAAAATACAGACAAAGGTTTATAAATGTTGTTCTTTATTTTCTTCTTTATCTTACTTGTATCTTTTATAATTTCTATTGAAAAATTGGTTTTCTTTTTGTAATTTGAAAAAAGTTATAAAAAATTTTGTTTGATACTTACCTCTTAACACATCAGTGCAAACTTGTCGAATAAACTGTTCTGAAAATTCTCTTCCCTGCATCAAATTATTAGGGGTTATAAGATGTATATACCAAGTAAAAAGCAATGAAAACTATGAGAGAAAGTAGAATACATACAGGCTTCCCATCCAATCCTGGAGGCCCCTGAGGGCCTGTTTCCCCAGGTTGTCCCTGGGGACCCACAGGCCCCATCAGGCCATCCATCCCAGACTCTCCTTTGGGTCCGGTGGCACCTCTGAAACCAGGTTCTCCCTTTTCACCTTTCTAGAAGCAAAAGAAATCCTCAGGCATTCTATTTAAATATTTCAGGAGGTATAATTGCATCTGAAAAATCCTCAAGGATATGGATATAAATATATGTTATACAGAAAACTGCTAGAAAATACTGTTATTGATCAAGAGGGAAATTTTATATCACCTTAACTGATATTTATGCATCCATCCACCCATCCATGCAACCCTACAAATATCCACTATTTCTTCAGTATATTATGTAGGCAATATGTACAGTGGCAGAGATACAACAATGAACAAGATACAGTCTTGTTTCCAAGGAGTTTAAATTCTAGTTAGACAAATATAAAAACACAATATTACTAATTGAAAAATTGCCCCTAATCTAGAAGAACCACCAATAATACTGTCAAGTACATAACATTTCATACCTACTTGAATGAATCTGTGTATTCTGAAAGTCACTATCCAGGAAATACTAAAGAGCATAAAAGGCATTTTCTGTTTGCAATATCAATTGCTAGATTTATATGGTAGTGAGAATTCAAGCAATAAGAACAGAACAGAGGGAGCATAACAGATGAAGAAACATACCTCTCCTCTTGTACCATGATGACCTTGAATTCCCTTTGAAAATAATAATAGGAAAAAAACTATAATAAACACGCAAGCTACAGTACCAGTAATGTGGCATGCACCATTTACCACACAGCTGATCAACTTTAATTTTTATATTGGAAAATATTGACAAAAATTGGTGACAGAATTACATACATGAGATATTTTTTGCCTTTTTGAAGGAGACCAATGACTAGGCAATATATTAACTGGATATATAAAAATGTTAATTTATGTAACTGTTTCATTCTTAGATATGAATATTTTTATATGCTGCAGGCCAAATATGTAGGTTAGAATGAGATTCTATCTGAATTCTATTTAAATTTTTTAAAAATAATAAATTTTATGATGAACTTAACATATATTACTATTTTAATGAAAATTCAAATTCAAATAAGGTAATAGAAGGTATATTTATTCTTTTATTTTGTGATTAAAAGAAGCATTGTCTTTTTCTGCTTATGCTCTTAAAGTTAAATTTAATTGCATACTACTGATAAAAAGATGAGTTAAAGCAAAGATACCAGCAAAAGTGATTAATAGGGAGGAAAATGTCTATTTGTCTTCTGCCTAAACCACTCACTGCTATTGAATTTGGAAATTAGAGAAGCAGTGTGATGTTCAATATGGTATATTTTGTTTCAGTGATAGAAACAATGGGAGCCCAAACATGAAACTCCCTCATTACAATTCCTGGATGCGGATACATGCGTTGGCTGTATTAAATTAGTTTTCACTCATCTTCTTGACATGTTCATTTCAATGACGTGATATAAGAACTTTCGGGAAAGGCATTAAAATTTTCCTATTTTGAAATTCATCATACATGCAGGCTCTAAAACCACACAATATCAGTTCAAAAAAAGGGTATAGTTTTCCTGGACACAGGTAGGATTTCATTATTTAACTTTAAAATTAAAACTTGGTGTCCTTCAATTCCATATAAAACTTAGTGTGTAACATTCCACAGTATTTGAGTATTTATTTTGATTTATTTCTCAGTTCCTTAAACATGGATATTCAATTTAGACAAAAGGAAAGAAAAATTAGGTAAAATCAGTGTATGGCACAGAGAAAGGTAGACTCTCAAATTAAATGTGAGCATAAAAACACTTCGTTTTCATATAAAAATCTTAGTTAATAAAACTCTCTGTGTAAGGCCATTCTTTAAATATTGAGGATTCTGAAAATATGCAGCAGTATTTCCTACCAGACGTCATCCTATGGCTGGAGCCAGTGTAAGAGGAAAGATAAAATAGTAAGTTCTCAGGCCTAGAACTGAATAAGAGCTGAAACTGAAAACAGCTGTCACTGAGAATCCACTAAAATGATTTCATGAGAGAAACATTCTCATGAACTCCATTCACAACAGGAAGGCCAAGAAATTACACATGTGCAGCACTTAGTAGGATGGCAGGTAACTAAGACTTTGTTGACTTAAAGAGTTTGGGTAGAGTGTCCAGCTTCTGAAAAGCAATAAGTGTTCTGGCCCCAGGGTCCTCCACTTCAGCTCAGTTCCTGGTGGTGGGAAATTCAGCTTTCCATAAAGGACAGAAGCTTTCTAGGGAATTCAAATCCTACCTTAGGGAGCAGACTTGCTATTTTCCTTGAGAAGTGAGAAACAAACAAGGGAAACTTGGAGACACTGTCATCTGTAAGTCAGTGAGCTAGCTAAGTGTGAGCTCAAATTCCACAGGAAATATCCTTCTTTCCAGAGAGTTATTGTAACAATTTCTGGTGAAAGCCCTGGGTTAGGAAGGTTGAATAGATGAAGGCGTGAAGGTCTTCCTCGGGGAAGAGCTGCTTATAGAGACTGTGTGATTAACTCAGGGAAATTGAGAGGGTTGGTCTGGGTTGCCAGGGAGGCAAACAGGGACAGAGCTGGTGGTGTCATCTCTGGATCTGAGTCAAGTGGAGGGACACTAAAATTAAGAGACATTTTCCATTGACGTAATGGTCTACAGGGAAACCCAATCTATTTCTCCTCTTAGATACCTTGGTGCTTATTGTTAGCTTCAAATTCTCAACTCTTCTAGGTATCCTGCACTCACCTTCCATCCCATATTACAGACAACCTTGGGGCCATTTTAAACACTCTCTCCGTGGACTTTCAGATTTCTCCAAGTGAGGGATACAGAGAGCCCTGTCTTTGGAGACATCGCTATACAGTTTTATCCATGTGTCTCTAAAACTAATTACTGAATCTTTCTCCTACCCACATGCAAAAGAGTCCCACCCTGTGGGAGGGCTCATATGTACAGCTTGCTCTTTAGATGCGGACCAAGTTGGAACTGAGCTTAACTGCAGGCTGTGCAGCAGGAAACATGCCTTATAAGCATTAATCACATTTATGTTCTTCTTGGTCCACTTTGGCTCTGACTAACTTTTGTGCCAAATGGCGATCTTGCTGAGACACTAACTAATGAGGAGAGTTTAGTCAGGGGAAAAGCAAAACAATCTTGTTATGTATCTGTTTCGTAACATAGCCCCTCAAGACAGGATTTTAGTAAGTCTCTGGTGTAGTAATTTATATCTCTGAACAAACTGGAGGAAAACAAGTGCATCCCTCCACCACATATGGACCCCGCTGCTCATAGTGTGAGAAGAAAACCAAGACCAAACAGTGGATATGGAGATACCGTCACTGTATGGCTGACTCTGGCCAATAAATGCTCCTAAAATGGGTGGCATTGTCCACCTTCTGTCATGCACATGGCCAGAAAAAAGCATTGAAAAGCAAGTTTCATAGCCAAAAGAAATGGGATAAGAAAATAAACATAAAACGAACAATTAAAGCAAACATTGTACCACCACCTAGCATTTTCAACCTTGTTTGATTAGAACTGTGTATCTTCGTTTCTCCCCTATTTTTATTTGAAAGTAACCCTCACTCAGTATTGTCCAGTTATGTTATTCCCTATTTAATTTTCCATCAAAGAAAAAAAAATACCTGTTGTCCTGGAATCCCTGGTCTTCCATTTTCTCCCTTTTGACCCTTTAAAATTTAACAAAATGTTATTAATTAGTTTGCACACATATGATGCAATCACATATAAACACAAACCATGTACTATCGTATAGTCTAGAAGAAATATCATGAAAGCAGTAATGCAAATATGTAAAATGATGTTAGATATGGGGTAGCCTCTCAAAGAAAATAAAAGTGAGAGGGAAGTCAACCTAATCTTATAGTTAAAATAGAGACAAGAAACAAACTTTGGGAGAACATGTAAATAATTTTAGATAGCTGAGAATGTTCCGCTGAGTCCACATTAACAGTATGAAAGTAATTTAAAAATCCAACGGCTGTGGACATTTTATTAATTTCAATGATGTAATTATATTCAGTGTTGATAATACACATTTGAGGACAAGAAGACCTCTTTAAAGGAATTTTTAAGAATTAAAAATATACCGCAAAAATATGTTGAATGAATATATTTAAATCAGGACAAACAAGAAGAGACAAAAATTAATAAAGATATAAACACATTTGCCTACTCAACAAATATTCTTGGATATCTACCATATATAAGACATTGTACTAGACCCTGAAGGACTGCTTCATTCCTACCTGGAACAAGAACATGATCAATTTCTAGGAAAACAGATGCCTTGATAATATAATTAGTTAAAGACCTAGTGACTACAATTTTAAATCACTCTTGCATAGTGATTTGTTCATTTTCTTACAAAAATGAATTCTCAATATTTATTGAGAAGCACCTGTTTGCTGGGCCTCAGGGACACTAAAACAAAGATATCATTGTTGCCTTCCAACTGCGTACTGNAATTCTCAATATTTATTGAGAAGCACCTGTTTGCTGGGCCTCAGGGACACTAAAACAAAGATATCGTTGTTGCCTTCCAACTGCGTACTGAGTGGGGGGAAAGACAAGCAATTCAATCAAGGTTGAAAAAATTTTAGCCTGGCTGGGCATGGCTCAGCGGTTGAGCATCGACCTGGGATCCAGGCAATCGGGGTTCGATTCCGGTCAGGGCACATGCCCGGGCTGCGGGCTTGATCAATGACTCTCTCATCATTGATGTTTCTCTCTCTCTCTCTCCCTCTCCTTTCCTCTCTCTGAAATCAATAAAGATATATTTTTTAAAAAAATTTTAAAGCAGGATACTGAAAATACTGTCTGATAAGTGTACAATGTATAATTAAACATCTGGGCTGGACACCACTGAACCATAGGAAGGGACATCTGCCAGGAGCCTTGAGTGCAGCCTCTGAGGTGAGTAAGAGCAGCAGCAGGAGGAGGGGGAGATGGCCACCGGGAAGACAAATACAGGACAAGGGCAATAGTTCATCTAAAGCAGCGGGCAAGAGTGGGCAAGAGTGGGCAGAGAGAAGGCCGAAGTAGAAGAGTCAGTCAAACCAAGAGGGACTGTGGGACAGACTTTATGTTGAACTGTGTGGGGCACCACTGACGGACTCCTAAGCAGACAGGTGATTTCGTGGCTGGATGCTGGTGACAGTGTGGGGTGGGGGGAGGGAGTAGACTGGACTTAAGCAGAGCAGTTAGGAAAATATTACAGCACAGTAATCCAGGGCCACTGGTAAGAAATGATTAGGATAGTGGGGGCAGGGAAAAGAGAAGAGCCAAGAACAAGGGACATTTAGATGTACAACTGCGTGTGGAGAAATCTGAAGATCCTGCCTTTAAGATGACTTCGAAGACGTTTTTCCCTCCGGTGACTGTGTGGTGGTGCCAGTTACTATGGCAAAGAATCTATGGATAGGAGATGGTTTATGGGGAAGGATACCAAGTTCTGATTTGAATATGTTGAGGTGCACATGAGAAATCCAAAAACAATACCAAGAAGGAAATTGGAATATATGTGTCTAGAACTCATAGGCATTTACTTAAAATTTAGCTCACTCCTAATTTTAAAATTAATTTAGAGGAATCATAATAATACTTGAATATGTTCTATAAAAAACAACTGGTTTTGCTTTTAAAAAAAAAACAACACAATTGTTGGACTGTTACCTTAGCAGATTTTGATTCTATTATTACATCAGTTTGAAATTTCCTTTTATGCCTCAAAAATTCTAGAGCTCTCAAAATTCTACCTGAAATTTTGCAAAGTAGTTTTCTTTTTACATTAAGCTTATGCTCCATAAAACTCAGCCATGGTAATGGAGTTTTATAATCTTAAAAACATTATGAAAGTGCTGTCTGGACATTAAATTTGTAATTCATGGTTGGAAAAGTCTTCCATTTCTGAAACTTAACAGATTGAAAGACCAACAGATATAATTTATTCCAGAGAAGCATACCACTGATTCTGCTAGCGGTGTACTATTCATGGGTCAGTGTTCAGTTAGGGATAAGGCCCTTTGAACAGCTACTTGAATGGAGGTGAAACCATCCTGTCTTCCATAGTAGTCGCATGGTTCTCCTCTTTGCCTGTGTTGCTAAAACACCCAAAACGAAATGTCCTTCTAAATCACCCTAGATTTCCTCAGCCTGATATATAACTTTCTGTTTAATTCTCCTTCTATTTATTAGTTTGAATATATTTTATGTTTGATGTTAATGATTTATCAAATTTATTTGTTCCATAAGCCATTTAAAATCTTTGTCAAATATATACACTATAAATATATAAATATATATTAGATATAATAAAATCTTCATATTTATTTTGTCTAATCACTTGGTTTCTAAGTTTTCTACAACAGTGAAGTGGTGAAGAATCTTTTATTTTATTGTTGACACCATTACAGATGTCCCCTGTTTCCTCCCCTTTGCCCCCCTCCACTCAATTTCCCCAAATCCTTTACCTCATTTTTGTCGGTGTCCATGGCCTATGCATACATGTTCTTTGGTTAATTTCTTCCAGTGCCCCCCAGCCCCCTCCTGTCTTGGATCTGTCAGTTTCATGTATCCATGCCTCTGGTCCTATGTTGTTCCTCAGTTTATTTTGTTCATTAGTGAGATCGTGTGATATTTGTCTCTGCCTGGCTTATTTCATTTAGCATAATACTCTCCAGGTGCATCCATGCTGTCCCAAAGGGTAAGACTTCCTTCTTTTTCACACCCAGCTAGTATTCCATGGTGTAAATGTACTCATAGCTTTTTTATCCACCCATTAACTGACGGGCATTTGGGCTGTTTCTGGATGTTGGCTATTATAAATAATGCTGCTATGAACATAGGGGTGGCATATATTCTTTCTGATTGGTGTTTCAGGATCTTAACATTAGAGTTGATGTGGTCTGAAAAGTTTAGTAGCAAAAGGACGAAGCTGGGATTTAACAATTAGATATTGACGGTAAAATATGAAGGAACTAGGAAAGCAATATATGAATTAAAAAGAACAAAGCCCCGATTCTACAGTCAAGCAGGAAAAAAAAGCCAACAGCATACCTGAATGCCTTTTTCACCTTGATCTCCTTTGTCCCCCTGCAAAAAGGCAGTTTTATATGTATCAGAATGTAATATATTCTGTATTCTTTCAAATAATTTTTTTTTTTCAGCAAAGAAAAATACATGATGTCATGCAAATTCCACAAGTGCCTTATATACAGAGCTGACTCCAACACAATATTTGGGAACAAAATAAAACCACATTCTGTCAAAATGATGTTCTGAGTGAACATTTTCTTGTGCTTTTACATTCAAAAGGAAATTCACTGCTATTTCTATTTTACCAGAAGAAGAAAAACGTTTCTATATTGATCATAATCTGAGGTTAATCAAACAAGCAAGAGAGGGTTTATTTTGGCAAATGTTTTAAGAAATCAAACTGAAAACCTTCCATTAAGTTCATAGTAGCCACAATTTTAGAGGAAACAATGAAATAAAACAACGTTGAAATGATGTTTTAGAAAACATAAGCTTCAAAAATGAAGTTTTGGGAGAAAATTATATTCCATAATAATAAGTTTCCTAGAATTTCTCAACTAGAAGAAACATTAGAGACCAACTAGTTCAAGGTCCTTGTTTGTATAGATAATGAACTGCAGACCAGGAAAGGTAAGCATTAGCTCAAAGTTCAACTTGGACACTGTTTCCAAATTCCTTTTTTTACCTCCTATGTTATCTAAACATAGAGAATAGAGTTTTGTGTTTACAGCAAACAAAATACAGATTTTCTTTTATATGACACATTTCTGAACAAGGAAATCCTCTAAATCTAAATATATATTCACAATAGATTTACTTATCACTAAGGGTCTAACACTTGCTGCTATGAAGATCACTCCTGTGTCAGCAAGTCCTGTCTACTGCTCATCAGAACCAAAAGATCAAGGATCAGACTGGACATAATAATTTAGGAGCCAAGTAGACAATACTTGAGGGACAGAAAAATGAAATGGTAGAAAAACTGCAGCAGCAAAGGATATGAAGATGAAGACCTAAGAGTGTGTATCCTTTCCAGAATAGAAGCCGCTATATTTACTTTTAACCTGAAATGTAACTATAGTCCATTTATAGTGGCATGGACTTTTTTGACAAATGGGCACTCAGTTGTTGCTTAAAAGCTTCAAACAAATGATACAGCTCAGGGTTCCTTTAGAGAAAGAGAGAGAGAGGGAGAGAATTTTATATGAGCATATATGACTTTTAAACTCCTTAAATTAATTTTAAAAGATTTCTTTGTAATACAGTTGTTTCATAGATAGGAACTTCATGGTCAAACATCCTAGTGGTAATTTTTAGCCTTTCAGACTTTTGCCCTAGTNAATTTTATATGAGCATATATGACTTTTAAACTCCTTAAATTAATTTTAAAAGATTTCTTTGTAATACAGTTGTTTCATAGATAGGAACTTCATGGTCAGACTTTTGCCCTAGTGTTGGTAAGAGCGATTCATATTTCAGTATAACATTGAATATTTTTCCTTAAAAATTCTTGACTCACCTGAATTGACTGTAAAACAATATAAATTTACAGAATATTACCTAATTGTACATTTATACTTTCTGATCTGCATGCTTCTTCCAAAGTCTTCATCTAGAAGATAATACCCACGTAGAGACGTGAAAGACGCCACAGCTATCAACATGAGGTTAAACACATTATATACATAGTGCACCAAATATATAGGTCAGCTTTGTCATTAAAAGTATAATCAGTTTTACCAGCCTATTTTCACCAAAGGAAAACTTACATGTTATTAGTAGCTGATTAAAAGTGAATTATATCTCCTAAACAACACATACCTTTTTCCCTTGAATTCCAGGTAAACCCAGGTATCCTGGTTCTCCCGGGGGACCCACTGCTCCTTGCTCTCCCTAAGTGACAGAAATTACAGAAAGCTCACAGACCTATGGCTGATGAGAAATACCACTGTTTTTATTTCTACATGCATCTCTAATTTTAAATTGCTGGTTAAAAAAAGGGTTGACATTTTAGAGTCATTATTACAGGAATAATAAAGAATAAAAAGTTTACTGGAGTCTCAATTAAACCTCTTATATTTTTTCCTATAGTTAAGAAGTTCTGATGGCATACCATATTTTAAAATTTACTTCTATTGCTTTATAACTTTAATAAAGTAAGTAATCGAGTAGTGAAAATGATAAACGCAGGTATCTTTTTTCATATATTACTTTTTCTTCCTCCTTGAAACTGCTTCCCCTCATAATGCTACTTGGAAAAATTTACTTTATTGCTACAAAACTGCTACGTAAATAGAATAAAAATTGTTGAAAAATCTCATCCCCCACTATTTTTATTTTGTTATTTATTTTCTCTCTACCTTTCACACACACAACTTAGTTACTAATATGTGCTACATATGCACAATTTTTCTTCTTTTACTTCAACATGTGTTAATATTGTGAAGTTCTTTATATGCCATTAATGTTTTTTAAAACATGATTCTTACTCACAGCATAGTATTCAACTGTATTGATTTACTATATTTTATTGAATAACATTCCTACAGTACTAAACATTGGTTTTCAAATTTTATTTTTATAAACAATATCGGGGTGAATACCTTTGTTAAGTTGTGTCCTCATTTATATTTTTTATTTATATATATGCAATATTATTTTCGTAGAAGTCAATTGTTGAGCTGTTTCAGCACAAAGAATATCCTTGAGGTATCTTAACTCACATTGTCGACTCTCCATCATCTCCTAGGGGTTTTCTTTTTCTTTCCTTTTTGTANGCCCTTTTCATCCCCGAGGCCGCGGAGCGCAGGCCCAGGCCCGGGCGCGCAGCACGACCCGCCGGCAGTACCAGCGCCTGCCGCTGTGTGGCGTTGCCGCCGCCGTGGCTCTGACCCCTGCGGCCTCCCGTTATGAACTGGGCCACGTTTTTAAAATCTTAAATAAGGAGGTCCTCAGAAAGCATATAGCGATGTATCAAGAGCTTTTGGGGTAAAAACCGTAAAAGATGGAACACAATCCTGAATGCTTCATGGGTTTTTTTGTTTTGTTTTGTGTTTAACCACAGTCCAAAACTCTATCGCATTAACTGAAGACTATTCTCTTTTGTAGAAACTAAGGGTTGTTCTCTTTGCTCACTGTGCCCACTCCTGAGCTGCTCAATATTACACTTTTAGATTTTTAAAAGCTAAAGAGAATTGGAAACCTCATGAGATAAACATAAACCATTTGTTTTGAAGGAAACTGGTAAAGGCAGCCATGAGTCCCCACTCTGAAAACAAAGTCCCATCCATCAGCAAACAAAGGAACAGCACCACTTATGGGAGCCACACACTCTTGTTCCCAGCCACGTGAGAGTGATATTCTCCAGACCAGAGAGAATGTTCATATTATCACACAACTTTTACCATTTCCAGAAAAATCAAGTCAAAGCATATTTCATGTTTTTATTACCCAAACTATGAGAAAGTATCCAAAAAAATGAAATGAAATTGGCTCATGTTGTTCATCTCTTTTCATTGACCTTAATTTTGAGACAAAGGTAATTCTAATTTCAGATATGTTTCTTAAGGGATATAAATGTTAACTTCATCAAACAAAGAGGGGAACTTATAATTCTTTGAAAATATTTCCAAATGCAACAAATCACAGTTACCTTGAGCCCAGAAGCCCCAGGCATCCCTTGAAGTCCAGGTTCACCTTTATTTCCCTGTCAATGCATCAAAACCATTTGAATTTTTTTTAAAAAGAGTCATAATTTATCGGATATAGACACAGAAATATATTTTTAAAAATTTTTACATTTTCAACTTACCAATTGTTTGAAACCTAGACTCTATATTTAAGCCTACTTATAAAGGAAAACTCTTTTATGCAGGGAAGTGAGTCCGCACATTGATAAAGCTCTCTAAAAATATGTGTTAAGTGGTTTTACTGGCTTTTTATACTGGCAGGTCCAAGTATAAGGGGAGGGATTCAAATCTTTAGGGATCAGAGCTAATTAGCTAGGCCTCCACACTGCACAGAATGAAGCCACACATTTTAAGAGAACCCTCTGGGTTGAGAATCTTTACATTTGCCCTGTTCTACTTTCTCACTATGGCTCACCTTCACAATGCACCTGAAGGAAAGAAACTTAGCTTCAAATGTACAGTGGCTTTTTTGAAGAAATATGAAAATGTTTAATTTGTGCTCTTTTCAAGATTCCAGCACAGTCCTAATAGAAACTTGGAGAGCAAGACCGAGTTGACAGCAAAGAATGTAACACAGGACAAGGGGATTGGATATGAAAGAGAGAACATGCCTGCTCCTAATAAGGAGAGATTGTCAGAGGTAGTTCTGGTTTTCAAATATACATTGATACCTGAAATTACAAACCAGTCAATATCTGTCAAAAGCCCTAATTAAACAGGTCCATGTGACCCCTAGAAGGGGCAGGCAATGATCGGCCAGAGACAAGCTGGGTTCACCCATAAGGGAACCAACTTCATTTTTAGCTTTTGAAAAGTTTTCTAGGCTGCTCATGTTGAGAAACATGTGAACCTAACATATGGATTTAATTGAAGCATTTAGCACATACCAGCATTGTTGAACCATAGAACAATGCCTTAATGTTTCTAATTTTACAAATGATTAAGCTGGAAATCACAGAGGTGAAAAGTCTTGCCAAAAGTTACATAGCTTGATTACATTAATATATCTTAATACCAGTTAAGTAATGTCTTTCAACAGCTACTTTAAAAAGTGGTATTATAACCTAAATTAGAAGTATTCTAAAGATCTACCACAGAGTTTCATCCCTGCCCTTTTAATACAGCTTTTTGTCCCATTCTTGCACTTCTACCAATGACACTGGAGGCATAGTCCACAAACATATACTTGAAAAATTGGCAGAGATAAGCTAATATAGAGGTCAGTCAACTATGGCCTGCCCGTGGGTTAAACCTAGCCCAAGGTGTGTTTTTGTAAATGAAGTTTTAGGGGAACACAGGCACATCCCACACTGTTTGTATTTGGCCATGGCTGTTTTTGAATTAAAATAGCAGAGTTGAGTAGTTGCAACAGAGACTACATGGCCCTGGAAGACTAAAGTACTATCTTGCCCTTTGCAGAAAAGGGTTCCAAAACTTGAGCTAATTAATACACTGCACGAAAAGTTAAAATGTTTCACTGAAAAGATTACATTAATAGGTATAATTTTAACATCCTGAGTCTATTTTTAACAAAATTATTGCACAAGTACAAGATGAGGGAAATCAGACTTTTATAGGAATTCATGTAAAAATAACAAACTGTGATGTTGGAAGCAGCCACTTGCCTCCCCAGCCAAATCAGCCAAATCTACAAATGCCACAGATACATTGTTCTAAAATATTTTATGAAAAAATCCAGCAGATATAATCAACCTCCAGCTCAGTGTGAGCCAGCAATGTGAAGTGGCCAATTTTAAAAAGCTGACGAATGGGGGACATCTATAATACTGTCAACAATAAAAAATAAAAATAAAAATAAAAAAGCTGATGAAATCTTAGGCTGTACTCTCAAAATTTAGAGCATCCAGAACACCATGGGATTTACTTAAGGGGTTTGCAACTACTCTATATCTTCTTTTTAAAAACAACCTTGAGAAATTATGGAGAACCTCTTCTTGGAAAGACCAGTCACTCAAAAGTTTCACACCAACTGCTGCTAGGACTCACAGAACTCCAAGAATCCACATGGGTCCACCGCTGGTAAAAGGGCATCTACTTTTCCCTAATCACTAGGCTACCCTGACGTTTTATCCTATCTCTTCTTTAATGCTTCAGAAACTGAAAGTAGATTAGGTCATCTACTCATTTAGTTTGCCAGGGCCTATTCTCCTGAAACAATGTCTAGTTAAAGGTCAAATGCCTTCAAAACAGCGATTCTATCACTTCCTTTTGGAAGGTTGTCTTATATTCATTAAATTTTTGAGAACAGTTTCCTGAGTCTAGCCAGAACATACTTAGTTCCATCCTCTAAAAAAAAAATTAACAAAAACAACAAAAATAGTTCTTTTAGCACAGGATTCTATACACCTAGAAAATGGTCATACTATGGTATTGAAAGAATTTCAGTTCTACCATGAGAATCCCTAACCGGACATCCTAAATATATTTGTCAAGCTTGCCTTGCTTTGTTAAATTCTGAGAGTAAAGATAATAAGCTCCCTTTCCCATAGTCCTTAGGGAAGAAATGCCTGATGAAACTCACTACAAGGCATTTCACAAATAAATATTTCATATACATCCTACTAAATAAAAATACCAAAAACAGGCCTGGGAAACTGGTGCAAGCGCTAGTGCTCAGTCATGACCACTAATGCTCTAGGTGAGTGGGTTTGGCACTGAACTTCCTAGAACTCTGCACGTTCCTCAGTGCCCTCGGGGCACCCATCGGGAGGAGGGAGCTGAGGAGTGAGGGGCTCTAGGCCCTTTCCAGTTTAAACCATACCTGCTCTACTTTAGTCTGTCCTATATGCACAGTTCTTGCCTAAGATTTTATTTTAACAAGTAATTGTTCACAGAATTAAAACCACATTAAAAATAAAATCAATATAGTCCAAACATTTCCTGAAGTACATAAATGATCATTTTGCACAAAGTTCTCAAGCTTGTTAATTCCTATATTTACCTTAGATCCTGGAGTTCCAGGCTGACCTGGTGAGCCATCGCTTCCCATCAAACCCTACATTTTAAAGTGGAAATTTAAGAGAAATGTAGAGAAAAACATTTAAAAATACTAAAATCATTTCCAAGTTACACATTCTCATATCAATTGATTCACTAAAATATAATACAATATTTGGGAAATTTCCTCACACACATCTAAATAAAGGGTACAAGGTAAATAAGCAACCGACCGATGCAAGGTAGCATGAAGGCTAGCAGAGCCCTTATAATTTATTTTTTCAAAAAACACACAACAGCACAAATTACAGAAAGGCTAGTAAAAGACAGATGTAAAGTAAAGTTTATTTTATTCTATACTCTTTCTTCCTTTTGTCATGAGGGCTAAGAATTAGGTTTCTTCATAGACGTTAGCTTGATCAACATTACTTACAATTTCTATTTTCTTGAACAATATTTTGAAAGAGTTAAAATCTAATAAATTCTTTGACTATAATAACCTCTCTTCAAGTTACAAAATGGCCCTTTTTTTTACTAATCATATAATTCATAATAAGACAATGATAACTACTCTAGCACAAGGACCTGACTCAGTTCTTGTTTTACTTTAAATGCTCTCATATACATTAAAAACACCTGCTTTCTCTTAAACATGGCAAAGGAAACATGATGTGCAAAATAAAAATTCAATTAATATCATCAGAAAATATAATCACAATATTGCCATATTGAAAATACCATGTCATCACTATGATGCTTTGCTGTCAATTTAGGATGTTATTTCAATTATAAAATGTAAAACATACTAGTTAATAGCATAGTATGTAAAATATTAGAAATTTGTTTTCCGGTTTATCTATAGCAAGGTCTCTGATCTTTATTTGGGTGGTCAACTTTTTGAGAACCTGTAGAAATCTAGGCTCTTCTAGAAAAATGGACATAAACATTATCTTTTTTTATACAAATGGATGGAATTTGTAGACCCCAAATATCTCATTGCTGGATCCCATTCCATTTTGTGAACTCCAGAATAAGAACTCCTGGTACATAGTAACAATATTTCAAACACCTGATAATAATGACATTAACATACAGGTATCCCCGGAGCTCCTTTTTTTCCTAATGGTCCTGGAGGCCCAATTTCTCCCTAAAAATCAAGTACAGATCAAATTTAAAATTGGAAATTATCAATTCATTTCCAGAAAGTTCCTACCAAAGCACTATAGAATGAAAATTCAATACCAATCAGCCCGGAGTGTCTGTCTTCCCTTCCTCTACTATAAGAAAGGAGCAAGTCAAGGCTGAAAATGCAGGAATTGAACACCTTAAAACTTGGGCCTGGGGTTTGTGAAATTACTAAGTCAAACATTTTCATTAGGAAATCAGGTGTGACACTTGCCATTCTTTCAAAGGAAGACCTCGCAATTCACAAATAGTTGGTAAGGTGAGACAATGGGGAGTGGGGGGGCGATAGGGAATCAAGAGAAAATTGTTTTATTTATCAGGGTTTAAGAGCTATGATCTTGAAAATAAACTAATAAATAGGTACAGAATAGCATTAGATTTCAACTTCTGGGATTGTGGCACACTAGGTGCTCCAAGGGATTCTCTGAATCCAGAACAACAACAAAAACCAGAAAGAGCATCCTCTGTGAGAGTGTTGGTCTTATAAGAAGTAGAGGAGATCTTCAAAGATCCCTCATTTTAATAAAGAATACTCTGGACTGAGGCTACGATTCTGAGGATTTGGAACTGTCCAGAAACCTTTGCAGAGGCCGAGACGCAGGAGTGAGAGGGTGGAGCTGTCTGGGAGCGTGTGTCAGCTCGGGAAAGGCCTGCTGGCTGGGCCGGGGACAGAGGCCGGGCTTGCACAGGGGGCCGAGATGGTGCCCATGCGACCAGCAGGAGGCAGCTCTCCCCCTCCCCTGAGGCTGGCAGGGCTCCCTCCGACTAAGATGATCAATGAGCTCACAATCAACAAGAAAGAGAGGAGGCCGCGAGCCACAGACGGACACTCAGCAGGAATATCAACCAACTGCAGACACTGGAATTGTCAGAAGAATTTAAACTGCATGTGAAATCTTAAATTAAAAAATAAAATCAGAAAGACTATTAGGGCTGAAAACAGAACAAGAAACTATTAAGCATAAAAAGATGTTGTTAAAAATTAGAACTAGAAATAAATCTAAGAGTGTTCAAAAATTTTTTTTAAATCAATTGATGGTTTAAACAGATTAGATACAGGAAAGTAAAAATAAGTGCACTGGAAAATATACCCCCCAAATTTGACCAGAATGTAAGGCAGAATAAAGAATATGAAAATAAAAAGCTATTTAGAGATGAAGGGAACAAAAAAAAAAAAAGGAATAAAATATATCTCACTAGAAGTCCAGAAAGAAGCAAGAGAGAAAATTAAGTTGTAGTAATGACTGATGTTTTCCAGAGTTAACAGAAATAATTCCACAGAGCCAGGAAGCAAACTGAACACCCACCAGGACAAGTAAAGAGAGATCTACATCTAGAAGCACCACAGTGAGTTTCAAGAACACTGAAATCAAATAGAATACCCTAAAAGGATCCCAAAGAAAGGGCCAGACCACTTACAGAACAATGGCCATGAGAAATCAAAGCAGATTTTTCATAGTTAACAGAAGCCAGGAGACCACACAAGAAAGTGCTAAGAGAAAATAATCGTCAATCTTGAGTTGTATGCTCTACAAAATTATGTCTCGAATGGAAAAGTAAAGATATTTGTAATTAAATTAAAAAGTTTACTACCACGATATCTGCATATAAAGGAACTTCTAAAGATATAGTTTAGGAAGTAGTAAAATTACCCCAAAAGAGGTAAGGAGGGTCTTAGAGCACAAGACAGAAAAGTAACCTAGTAAGATAGAAAGCATGTATGTAAATCCAAAATATTATTGTCTGGATAAAACAACAATAAAAAACAATTTGTAAAGTCAAAATAATGCTTCTGATATTATATTATATTTGAACAATTAACTCTTGCCATGAATGTAGTAACAAAGTATTCTGGGTGAAGGCACATCACCACTTTGCCCTTTTAATAAGCAGGTCCAGGCCCAAATCTTTCAACTTTTGTTAATACGCACCTTTTGTCCCATTAATCCTTGGCTTCCAGGAAATCCTGGGATTCCCTAGAAGGAAATAAAGTATATTTTTAATTAAAATATTTGTTGACTGTAACATTAGAGGATAGGTCATAATTAGATTTTTAACTTCTTAAATAATGCAGAATTTCAAATATTATCATTTACGATATAACACTGCCACTTATAATGGTCCAATTTGGAAAGTAGGAAATTTATGAGTCAATATTATATGAACATCTATGGATATTTAAAGTTTTAAATAAAAGCTTTCAAAAAGAGAAGTTATGAGGATGTTAACCTTGGTTCTTCTTTCAGACCAACATAAGTGATAAAATAAGGACATTTCATTGAAATGCACTCCTGTGTTACTGATCAAGAATGCAAATAAAAACTGTCAAATCAGACAGTCCAGATTCAGCACAATACTTCCAAAGTCCCTCACAGTATCATAACTGACTAAAACTGATGAAACTAAATGATTTCCTCCAAACTGAGCCTGGAAACACCCAGGAGCCCAACTCCATGTGTAAAATATGGTAATCTTTCTCCTAATGAGTCCCTTGCTGATAAAATCATAAAGAAAATGCAGACCACAGTTTGTGGAGNCTGGAAACACTCAGGAGCCCAACTCCATGTGTAAAATATGGTAATCTTTCTCCTAATGAGTCCCTTGCTGATAAAATCATAAAGAAGATGCAGACCACAGTTTGTGGACAGACAGAAAAACAGAGAGATTTTCACATGGCTCAACCCAAATGTACAAGCTCTCTAGCAAGATTCAGAGGAAATTAATATTAACTTTATAAATTTGAGAATAACCTCAGTACATTTATTAATGAGAAAGCAATTCTAGTCGGTCATTCAATGCATTTACCAAAATGGTCATTTATCACCCAAACAGTGATGGTGCTAATCATGGTGATCAATTTTCATTTCTTATTTTTTCTTAGCTCCTTTCTTGATGACACTTCAGATGAAATAATTGGTGTGCGTGTGTGTGTGTGTTTGTGTGTGTGTTTTCACAACCTGGCAGGAAAGGGAATGGGAAAGACAAGGAAATTGGGCCCCGTCAGAGTTTCTTTGGAAGCCCTCTGCATCATCGGGGATGTCAAAGAATAAGCAGTGCTCTTGTCAGTAAATCAGCGCAAGTGGTAGAGTAGCCACTATCAGGGAGATCAAACATCTTCGATTGCAGGGAGAGCCTGCCATTATTTTGCCTTTCACATATTGACTTTATTAATACAATACTGCTCAATGTGTTAGCCACAATTATAGTGCAAGACAGGAGGACATAGTTCTGGTTTTAAAATCTACTTGAATCATAAATTACAATTCAATTTTATTCTGTTCGGCTCAATTCAACTTGCCAGGGCTCTATGCCTTTTGCAGACAGCAAAAGATGGATGTAAGCAATGACTGTCAACAGGAGCTTGCAGTCTAGTTGAAAGCACAGCCTTTATAAGCATACTAACTAGATAATAATATAAAACAACATTACATTTTAATGTAATTATAAAACATGAAGGCAGGACAGCTTATAAACACTCTAAAACCTAAAGCAAAAGTGCGTTTTGAGCATAAATAGAATAACACAAACTTTATAGACAGAAAATGTATATTCTCAAAGCAATCAAGATGAATATTGTTCAGAATAAAGGCCCCATTTCAATAGAAATCTCCTGTAATCAAATCCCACTCAAATACACACACACAAATTAATTATCGGTTTAGATCAAGTTCCGAATTTAAATAAAATCTCCTTATAAAATCTTATCAAGGTGGCCACACACTGTTCTATGCTGATACAGCTGTGTCAATGCAGTGCCCCTTGGCCCCAAGAACCCTCACGGGGTCATGCAATTGCCCTGAGACAGTCAGACCTGAAAAGCTGAAGTTTCTGCTTTACATACTCCTTTATTATTAAGGGTTTCATCACTATTCAAGTCTCTGTGCCCTTCCTAATCTATGATATTAGTAGGAGACAGTTATAGATATCCTGACGATTCCTGTTTCTAAAGCCAATCCTGGAGTCAGCAAGGCTACATTTTCACTCGGGGGGAAAAATGGAGTTATGGCCAGGCATCCTTGAGCAACAACCTGGCTTTCGTCTCCCAGAAATCCCTGAGAAACCCCCATTCCCTCCCTGGATCTGACTTGACACCCTTCTATCTGAGTAATTCTAAGACTGAGCTTGGTCTATATTAGGACATAGCCACAAATCTTATCTTATTTCAATATATCATATATTGATTTTGGGGAGAGGAATTCTAGATTAGGAAAAAAAATGTTCTTTTTCAACTATTGTCTCTCTTCTAAAATTAGCAAACATTAAAATACATTTCATAGATGTGAAAAGAAGTCATATCTTCTATGACCACTTCTACCAAGAATTATTAAATACATATTTTATAAACAATCAAAAAATAAATAAAACTACATAATATCAAAAACAAAATGTAAAACTAATTTATAAAAGCAATTCTCAGCCAAACTAATATAATACCATGAGTGTGCATGGAATAAAAGACTGTTCAGAGATTGGTTAAACAGAAGAACTGAAATCATTCAGAGCACATTAGTTAAGAAAATTCCCCTAGATAATATTTTCCTGGGCTCCCAATACATTTATTGAAATAGGCTAAACTTGCCAATTTTACATTAGCAGAAATATCATTCAAAACTATTTGAAAGTTACCAGTTTGTTGATCCAAAAGTATTTAGTAACAATTACTTCATAGAGCATATGTTTTTCCAAGCTAACTCTTTTATATTTCACTTTCAGCCTGTGTGGTTTGGGGTTCAGGCAACTGTGAAATGTGTAAGTAAAGACAGAAACAAGTCTTTTATTTGATAAGAGTAAAGGGACATATGTCTTGTACTTTTGTGATTTCAGTTTGGGTTTGAGGAAGAGCAGAGAGTCAACTAGAAACTCCTGCATAATGTTGTGGTGAAAAATGTTGGTACAAAAAGAAATGTTCTAGAAGCTTCTCTGTAACCATTAAACCACTGCTGTGTAACAAACAAGTTATTAAAAATAGACATACGGAATTTAGAATAAAGTTTTTGGTCCCTATATCCCAGAGACTACTTTATAATGAAGAAAATGTGTCCATGGTACATTACTTAGAAAAGACGAAATATCACTTTATACTTTCCCACATACAATGAATACATTTGTCTTACCCCTGAAATTAGAACATCTTTAATCAAATCTGTTTTTAAGTAATATAATATTTTCAATGTACTAAAAACAGATCTAACCCATTAATGGTATTTTTAAATCAAAATTTTCCACTTTTCTATGTAGGGATGGAGATACTTAATATTGCATAGCTTTCAAAATATTAGAAGCATATTATGTTTCCTTTCCTTATATAAAGAACTTATTAATTTATTCCCAAAGATTCAATGAAAGGAGAACTCATGTTGAAAGTATCATTCTCGCCCTGGCTGGTGTTGCCCAGTGGTTAGAGCACCGGCCTGCCCACCAAAGGGTCTTGGGTTCAATTCCCATCGAGGGAATGTACCTGGGCTGCAGGTTCTATCCCCGGCCCGCGGGCAGCGTGGGGAAGGCAACGAATCAATGTGTCTCTCACATTGATGTTTCTCTCTCTCTCTCCCCATCTCTCCCTCCCACTCTCTCTCAAAACAAAATCAATGGAAAAAATATCCTCGGGGAAGGATTAAAAGAGAAAAACAAAGTATTATTCTCATTTGCTATAAAGATTGCAATGATTATTAATAAAGCACATAGAAGTAGTATGAAAAAGTTAAACGTTTAGACCCTGGAGTCAAGCCAGTCCATTCTGAAGGGGCTAATTGGCTCCAGGCAAGTTATTTAAACTGTGTACCACTCAGCACCACTGCTTCAGACGTGGGGAAAATAGCAGAACCTAGTTCATTGAGTTGTTACATTGTATCAATGAACCTCACAAGTGCTGAGCTCAGTGCTGGCACAGCCATTGCATTTTCATGGCTCTTTCCACAGCTCCTCCCTGACCTTTGAAAGTTACAAAATAAATGAGTCACCTATCTCCAGTATCTCAAAACTTGCCCTTTTTCTCCATTTCGAGGAACTCTGTTCTTGTCTTTCCGCCTGTCCTTTTCCTACACTCATTTCCAAGTGTCCGTGGTTTCCAAGGGGACGCTGACGAGCGAAGGCTCCCCACCAGGGGGCGCCAAGATGCTGGCACTGCCCTCATTCACCGCCTCTGCCTTTCATGCTGAGCAGACTGATTATAGAAAGAGACTACCATCACTTCTGCTTTTAAAACATTTTAAATATATTTCATCACTTTTTTCCCCAGAAAAATACAACCAAAAGTTTCAAATATGTTTGCAGGTGGACTCCACATTTTTTAATCCTTTTTTTTTTTTTTTTTTTTTACTTCCACAGATACATCATTATGATGGAGAAAAGATTACTCTGTAGCAGGGTAACTCTAAAGAGCAGTAAGTCACAGTCATAGCTGCCACACCTTAAAGAAACCAAGATACAAGTACTTGCAATGAGCCCTTAATAAGGAAATTAGTAGTTTTACCATCCTCTTTAATACTTCAATACAGTTTTACTACTCCCTTTCACCTTTAAGGGGAGAAACAGTAATCTAAGTAACATTGGATGGATTCATTCTCCCTAGCGTACAAACCAGGACTCCCATGAGATTGGATCCAAATTACCCAAATAATCTCAATAGGAAATTCTTCGGTAAATACTTTTGGGCTCCTCATACTTGTATACAACAGAAAATGTAACCGATTTGAATACATTTCTCACCCTAGCCTAAAGGCACTTAAACTTATTTTATAAAAAGCCAAGAAGATTGTATTCTACATGATTTGCAAATGGATTATTTTTCTGGACAAGATTTAAAAAGGCAAATATTTGTGAAATTAAAATCACATGCCAGAAAACCCAGAGGAGGTGGAGAGGGACAGAAATAAGAAACCTGGGATAGTCTGCACTGCCACATCATGGGAAGTCATAGAACCACCCTGATCCCCCAAATCCAGAAAAAGAACCTATCCCTGGACATCAGCAAGTT